TTGCCATATTGCGTGTACCACATATGGCGCACGTCGCAGTCAAAGTGTTAAATAATTGTTCCTATTATTTTTCTATTTTTAAACGCTCTCATTTTTGAATAACTTTTTCTTTCCCTCTAATATGCCCCACCCATATAACCCCTCCTACCATCGCTCCCGTATTACACAAACATGTGGTTTTTTGTTACTGCGGTGATACGTGTACTGAACCCTCACCTTGTGAACAGTACGGAAACTCAGACTATCCAAAATGGTGTTCAATAGATTACGGATCTGCAAGAAAATGCCCACATTGAGCGCTGTCAGTAAGAGGACTGTAAGTAAACGCCCTGATAGAGGGGAACGAGAGGCAGTAAGTCGGCAAAAAATGAACATACATGGTCAGGGAAGTAAACGTACCTATAGAAGACAGAACCGTATTCTGCAAGCCAGGTCCCCTCGACGGCGGTAACGCACTGCATGTACTCCTTAGTCGTCATCACCAATTCGTGATAAATGATGTAGTCAGGTGTGTAGGCCATACCGTAGAGTGCGCTTGTGGGGTGCAACCGACAAGGCATTCCGGTTCGCAGATTCACATATTCGGCCAGACCCTGCAAAATGGCAAACAGGAAGGCGTAGTGTAAAACGAACAGAAGCAGCGGGGGAGGGGAAAGGGTATGGTCATAAATACACACGAAAAAGTACACGTCTGGAAGGAAAAAGGGACAATTATCATCAGTAGGCAGCAATGGAAATGTTGATTTGGCAAAACTCGCATAAACGTGAACTAGACTCTCTAAAGAAAAGTGTAAGGCATGAGAAAACCTAAGACTTCTACAAAAACTACTGTACGTATTGGTCGCAAATCACCAATCAACGAACGAGTGCCTACATTGAAAAAGAGATTCACCCGTTGGAGCGAGCATTTTATTTGCCAAGCTCGAAGTCCTACACTAGGGACAGAAACAAATAACGACAGCGTATACACAAGGGTCTCAGATCTGAACGCATGAGGTACAGCTTTTCCGCTAAGTCCTCATGTGATGATTCGTCTTGCGACGCAAGGCACCGACAGTTCGACCGTCAGTTTCGACGAGATACGCCGTGTGCTCCACGGCAGAGTGGTGCCCCGCCGGGTCCGGAGGCAAGACAGAGCCAAGAAGACTAGAGATGGGAGAAGACGCAAGTGCACACACTATGGGCCACCACAAACAAAAAGACAGTACCAAAATGGGGGCGGGGGTTGTGATTCGAATGCCATCTGAGTGGGAGTGCCATAAACACCACATTGATGAGGAGCTGTTGTAGCCAGACTCCCAGTCCGCCATTCCGCACAAACACACACTGGGCTGACTACGCGGTGCGAGTTATCCCGTCAGTTGGTAACCTTCTAAGCCATGGCTTTTAGCGCACCGTAGTAGCTTCAAGCACGTCAGATTGTTTATAGTGAGAAAAATGTGCTGAGACAGAGTGTGACGCCGTGTGGAGTGGAGGCGGACGAACGACACCGTGTAACGCTCATACGAAAATTTAGCAAATGGCCGTCTTCAGTCATTACAATTAGGCAAGTACAATGGCAGTATTAATCCGCTCCAGAGTGTAACTACCTACATTCATGCACAGTGCGCACAAATCTTGTCATATGGGCGGGTGCCGGTCAGAATTATAAGATTAAGGGAAAACCATTTAGTGCTTAAAAGAAGACAGCAGGGGAGATTAATAGTGTGAGACTCACAGGCGGAAAGAAGATGGCAGGACAATTAACAAGAACAGGTGTACGATTGGATATGAGTGGAGAAAACGACTACTCATGTAAGATATATTTATCCTCAGTGGCGAGAAAAGACGTACACGGAGGTCTGGGATGACCGTTTGCGAATGCGCAGGGAACTCTCTAACAAACAGGGTTAGCTTCTGCGCCTAAAAATAGTCGTTAGGATGAAGTCCAGGTCACCCTATCTGGTCTGTCACAAGGAACCGGGCCGATAATTACCTCGGTACGACGACAAATTTAAAAGCATGTGGTCTTTAGAAAGCGTGGTGGATGTGAGACCAGCCTTGACGACACTTTTGATTTACACCTTAGTGGGATGGTGGGCAAGAATTGCAATGATTGCAGTCCTGGAGAAGCTACATTCTTGCAAAAAAAAATACGCTGAGGTCTTAAATGAATTGTTTAAGAGGGTGGATTAGGCATGTTTACCTTTTGAAAGAAAAACAAGTGAGCACATCTAAACACACCTTTATACGGGCAGCCTGGTGGAAGAAGGCTGAACACAGGCATCGGCGCACGACGTCCCAGTCCGTACCACTAGAGCAGAGGGTCATGTCATGCTGCTCCATGATCTCCTTGAGCTGCTGGCGCACCTCACGAACT